ACTTGAAACGATACATATATTTGCGTAGTAACCCTAATGTATAAACTACTTTCTAAATTTCATAATATTTTGATTTTGCACAGTAGCCGCTAAATATAAATAGGGTCAAGATTTTGATCATCTTATGGTAGCTAAATTACTGTGTAATTGCGGGTTAGGTCAATTTACTGGGCTTATGTACGATGATAGAAATCTCCAAGGTTGTCTCATTGGTCGCGATGCCCTCTTATCTCTAGTTAAATAGGTTAAATGACTCATGTTCCATGCTTCCTACTGCTCGGAGGTAGCAGCCCCTCAACTACTTGAAGTCTCTTTTGTTTGTGATCACTTCCCCATCTTTTGTTTGTGATCACTTCCCCATCTCCTAGGAACCTGACCACAATGTGGTAGGTGGACACCATGACCTTGAAGTGATTCAACAATGAGAGACCAAAGATGGCGTTGTAGTTTTGAGGCGAGTTCAATGTAAGAAAGTCTTTTGTCTCTGTGAATTACTTCCTACATTCTCCCCAAGTGACCACCAATAGCCTTAAGCACAACACCTCCTTCCTTTATCCTGAAAAACCATATAGTGGGCCAGCTGGTGCTACGTGCCGGTCAGCCCAAAGAAGCTTATCAAACACTAAACTTGAACAATATGTTCATAGAGCTAGCAGTTGACATTAATCAAATTTTCATATTTTTAATGCTTTTATTATAGAAATTTTTAACTTTAAATACATGATGTTATGCTTTCGAAAGGTTGAAATTACATTTTACAGTTTACAGGAGGACTCGCACGAAAATTAAAGTAAAATAAGGAATTTTGGGAAAACCCATGCCTAAATAGCCATGCCTAAAACTGGTGTGATCACTCACCTTGAGTAGTGTGGTCACATCCCAAAAATGAAGAGGTCCGCACTATGAAAAAAAGATCGGTGTGACCACACCGCCTAACCCGAGGAGGTGTAATTACGCCGCAGGCCTGACAGGGTCACACCGACATATAATTTCATATTTGGAAACTCTTTAGTGTTGGATTCTGATAAATTTGGTAAAGATTTTGAATTCATGCTATAAAAATATTGTATTAGGAGATTGTAGGGAGGTTTTCAAGGGGAGATTGCAAAAGGAAGCTAGGGTTTTTAGAGAAATTTATTTTCTCGTTTCAGATTTTGTTTTTCTATTTTTGTGAGAGAGGTTTGTGAGATAAATTGGGTGTTGTTCTTGTAAGAGAGGAGATAAAATGTTGCAAGCTATTTTTATCTCAATAAAAATTTTCTTGCAGGGAAATTATCTTTGCTTTTCTCTCGAACCATGAGTAACTAAACAATTTTTTGCGTCTTTATGTTTTTTGGGATGGATTTATTGGATTGATTTTTATTCTTGATTTCTCATATCATTTTTTGCACTTTAAGTTGATAAAAGATGTTGGTTAATCTTCTGACTTTCGTTTACTCCCAGCCCGCCCAGTTAGGATGCTAGAATCCATTATGATCTAGGACTTCGACAGAAACGTAGTGGAACGATTAGGTTAACCACAATATTTGAATAAAATAGGATATCTTATTATGATTCTTGCAACCAATTAAAGAGGGTCTGAATTTATTGATGGACTTCATAAAGATAGGTGGAAGGTATCGTTATGGAATACCAATTCATCTTGGGACTTAGGCATAACCTTAAGAAGAACTTAATATCTCTGTTTACAACGACCACGAAAGAGGAATTTGTATGAAAATCAAGTCAAGTGCCGCACCTAAATTACAGAAGCACAATAGTCATCAATGTTGGAATAACATTGAAGAACTTTATTCCGCGAAGGAGGATATTGCTGTAGCTTTTTCATGCCTCTAACCCTGATCTACAAACTCTTTCAGTTGTTCTACCTTGATCTACTTCTCGATGAGAATCTTGAGGTGCTTGCATTTCATCGTGACATAGTCGTGGTCTATATAGTACTTACAATACTTTTTCTCGTTTCAGAGAAAAAAATTTGGCCCTCATTAGTGTGGCTTCCTTGAAGTATTCTTTATTTAGGATGATGTTTACGAACTTCGCCATTGATACTCTCAATGGGGTAAAATGTCAGCAATTGAAATCGTTGTGCGATTGCTCATAACATTATGCCGACCATTCATAATATCGAGCCAACTGGGATCACGGTTCCTTGCTAGATCTTCCTGTTGGTTGCACTGATCATATCTTCTATTTTCGTGAGAGGATTGACTTTTAAGTACTGACGCCTGACATGTGGTCGGCGGTCTTCCCTTGGCTTCAATCCGCTACTTTGGGGAACCCTTTTCGAGGATTAACGCTCTTCTGGCTTTGGTTTAAGAGTGCTCTCATCAGCGAGCATGTACTTGTTTTCCATCTCCAACAAGTCAGCCAAGTCCTTATGTTCTTGTAAGTTGAGGTTGAAACAAAACATTTCTGACCTCAGGAACTACTCCAGCATGGCTTGTGCCATGTTAGTTCTAAGGTCTTCTACCTCCAGCATTTACATCTAGAAACGAAGGATATAAGAGCGCATGCTCTCGTTTGGGCCCGACTTCATCTGTCAGATAGCTCACGCTCTCTTCTTTGGTGCCCAAGCGCTCGTCTACCGTGCAAAGAGAAGCCTTCAAAAGTGTTAAAAGTTGTAGACCTCATAGTGGTAAAGAACAATTGGCACTTGAACACATCTGAGACCATAAGCAGGCTCATTATTTATTCGAACAAGGAGATGTGATCATTGCGATCTGACTGCTCTCCGATAACGATCCAACGTTGGAAGCTTAAAGTTCTCCTGGGGTTCGGCTTCAAATATGTGAAGCGAGAAAGGATTATCCGGCTGTTGTGGTGTTTCAGTGTGTCCAAGTCATTGCTTCTCCACTTGCACAGATCTCGCACTGTCCTGGAGCTTCGAGTCATTGACTCTTTTGGGGTTGTAGTTCAATCTTTTGTCGTTGTGCAACAACGTGGCCTTCTGTGACTAGTTCTACTCCTGGGATCCTCACTTCCTGCTAGGGCCGAGATGGCACTTAGGGCCTTCGTGATCTGACCAGACACTTGGACCATGATCAGAATCCTCATCTCCTGCATCCCTCATTGCATGTGTTCCTCTATGTTTCTCGTGCACGTTTCACTTTGGTTATTTCAGCGAAAGATGTGCTCCTCTTGTTGTCAACAACATTACTCAAAACTCACCACACCTTTTAGGATGTTGAATCCAAAGTTTTCAAAGAGATACGCCTAAGGAATAAAGCGATAAGGAGAGGGAGGGAGGGAGGGAGGAGAACAAAAGAGCAATATAAAACTGTAAATTCGTGTAAACTTTATTCATGAAATGAACTTCTATTTATAGGAATGGGGGTTATTTTATTACATGATATACCCTAATCTACGCAGATATAGCTGTGGTATTCTAGCATATACATGAATATTAGGCTGGAAGCCTCTAGGCTCCCGGCTGGACAGGGCTCGAGACCTTGTAAAACTCTAGGCGTCTAGTCCTTAAGAAGAGGTCCGGTTGAGAGAGTTTGGTACTTACGACAACCTCTTGCTTGGCTTCATTTTGGTCAGGTGGTCGTTCTCTGAGGGTTCGGTGTAAACTGTCAATTTGACTATTTTGTAGAGAGTTTATCCCTGCACAGGTGGTGGGAAGCTTCGACCAATTATTTTGGGGGCAGACGACTCACTCCGCTCATCCAACCAGACTAGAAGAAATGGGGCAAGATTTTTCTGTTTGAGTCTTGTGTCGACATGTTGACTTTTAGAATGGTGGTTGAATTCCATCAGTCTGGGAAATGCTTTCCTCTTGGTCTATGAGAGCTGGTCGATTAAGCATGAGGTGTCAGATTATCCCGGGCGGGCCCCCTCGATGCCATGTCGTCTTCATCCGCCTAATGTGAAATGTTCTTGAGATTCTTGCTAACACATATTTCATATACATACACTTATATAATGTATTATTTAATAAAATTTAATTAATTTAATTATATGTTTAATAATAATAAATTATAATTTAATATCATTATGCATATATATTTAATAAAATTTCTTCTAATATTTTTATTTTAGTAAAATTATTTGTTAATTTATTTATGTAATTTGATTGCGCGAAAATTAACTTGTGCTTGTATTAGTTTATTTAGTTTATAAAAATTAGTTAGATAATAATTTAAAATTCATTCAATTATTTATTTATTTAAATTTATAAAATTATTTATTAATGATTTTAAATAAAAAATTAAGCATTTATTTAAATTTTTTAACTTAATTCATTTGGCTTATAATTATGAATTCCTGAAGTGAGACCATCCTCAAAAGAAAAAAACAATTTTCATGATATCCATCAATAATGAGTGCTAACTCTTCAGGCAACGCAAACGTGGCCACTGGTTACTTGATTTCCAATAAGCACCCAAGACCATTACCGGCGACGGAGGTGGCCGGCGGCCGTGTTCTAGGACTGACTTCACTTCCAACAGTATCTTAGACAATTTTCTGGTGAAAAGGCGTCACCTTTGACTAAGAAAACTCATTTGAAGTCAACCTTCCCCACCATTTTCCTTGTTCTTTTTTAATTTTTTCTGGAGTCCAGTTTTTCTTATCTTCGTCTGTTTCCGCTAGCTTCACGACGCCTGTCGTGGAGGGAGGGAAAAGCACAAGCGAACAAGGAAAAGTCGGTTCGCTTTCCCACTTCGATCGGTGCCACGTCCTTTTCACCTTCTTCTTACTAAGGGTGAGATATAATTACTAACCAGTAAATTTATCTGTAAATTTCATAAAAAATTGTAATTATGAAGATTTAATTCCGCATATATTGAATTTTGTGCATCAGTTCACGTAAATTTTCAGATTATTTTTTTTGAGAAGTAAAAAAGTTAAAACAGAGGAAAAAGAAAGGGGATGACGCGGTAGAAGCCGAGGTCATGTTAAAAAGTTGGGATTTTTACTTTTTTCGATTTCATCGCTTGGCGAGAAAGTGGGAAATGAAGGGTCAACTGGTCCCGTTCACCCTTAGCTGTTTGTTTACATTATTCCTCGCAATGAGGGAATGGTTGTCGCATATATTTTTTGAAAGGACTCGGGGAGTCTACATACACATGAGCTTATTTTCTTCTTCTTTCTTCTTTTTTGGTCCTTAAACTGCTTCTACTTCTGTTTTCGTTTCTTCCTCATGACAGTTCTCCTATAATGGAAGCAGGAGGGGACATGTACAATTGGTTCTTCAATACTCGCAAGTGCTCTGTTTTCTCTTTATCGTAGGGTGGGAGTGAGGTGAGCTTTTAGGGTTCTGAGAGCGTAGCAAGCAAAGGAGGGAGACGGAGAGAGACAGAGGTGCCAGCGCTTGGCTTGCCTTCTTTCTCTTTCTTTCTGCCCTGTAAACAGTGTGGTAGAGGGAGCTGGAGGCATTGGTTCATGACCCGTGTATGCTTTTGCCTCCTCTGGGCCTCTCCATTTTCTACTCCCTTTCTCGCTTTTAGATCTTTCCTTCTTTCTACTGCGTACCTTTGCTTTAATTTATTTTCCTTCCTGGGATTTTCTTACATGCGGTAAGAATTAGCTGGCGCTTAGCAGGACAGGAGGAGAGAGTCCTTTAGATCTGAGAAGGTTTGGGATAGGAGAAGAAAAAGTTAGGATTTTGTGAAGGGAAGAAGGTTCATCAATGAGTTTCGGTGGTTTATTTGACAGCGATTTACCGTACGGAAGCTCCGCCATGCCGGCCGGAGTGCTTTCTCAAACGCGATTTCTCTCAAATTCTGCAGCAGCAGTTCCCAAGCCCATGTTCGGCTCCGCTGGTCTCTCTCTCGGCCTGGTGAGCAGCCTCTTCTGCCACTTAAAATCTTAGCTATATATTCTTTCTTCTTTTCATTTTGCGAACTTAAAAAATTGTTTTTTTTATTGTTTGTTTGTTTCGATTTTTGTTAAGCAATCGAATCTGGAGGGAAAGGGAGAGTTGAGCCGGCTTTCTGTGGTAGCATCCGCCGGCGACGGCCATGGCGGCGGCGAGCTAGATGTGCTTTGCCGGAACAAGGATGAGGAGAACGAGAGCAGATCAGGTAGCGACAACTTAGAAGGCGGTTCAGGCGATGATCTTGACCTAGAAAACCCTCGCAAAAAGAAGCGTTACCATCGTCACACACCTCAGCAAATCCAAGAACTAGAAAGGTATAAAAGATCAGATTTTTTTAACTTCTTTTGTTTTTTTTTCATCTATACGTTAATATGTCTCATCGCGCAGCCTGTTCAAAGAGTGCCCGCACCCCGATGAGAAACAAAGATTAGAACTCAGCAAGCGGCTTCGTCTCGAGACTCGCCAGGTCAAATTCTGGTTCCAAAACCGGCGAACTCAGATGAAGGTATCAAAAATCAGTCAAAAATTGCTTTTTTTTGCACCGCTCCCCTCTTCTATCTCTGTTCTAATTTGACTCTACCCATCCAAAGACTCAAATGGAGCGCCATGAGAACACCATCTTAAGGCAAGAAAATGACAAGCTTAGAGCTGAGAACATATCCATCAGAGACGCAATGAGGAACGCAATCTGCAACAACTGCGGCGGCGCAGCCGTGCTCGGCGACGTCTCGCTGGAAGAACAGCACCTGAGAATCGAAAACGCGCGTCTTAAAGATGAGCTGGATCGCGTCTGCGCACTCGCCAGCAAGTTTCTCGGCCGCCCCATCTCTCCCGCAGTGCCAAGCTCATCTCTTGAACTCGCTGTTGGTTGCAACGGAGGTTTCAGCGGTTTCGGATCGATTACAACAACATTTCCTGCGGTTTCTGATTTCATCAGCGGCGGCGGATCGAACTCATTGGGCACTGTTATCACTCCCTCGCGTTCAGTTGCTGTTGGGGATAGGTCGGTTGAAAGATCGATGTTTTTGGAGTTGGCTTTGTCGGCCATGGACGAGCTTGTGAAGATGGCTGAAATGGGGGAGCCGCTTTGGATGGTTGGTGGGGAGGAGAATGGGAGGGAGGTTTTGAATATCGAGCAGTATGAATTATTTCCACGTTGTGTTGGTGTGAAAAGTTCTGATTTTGTGTCGGAGGCTACGAGGATGACGGCCATGGTTATCATCAACAGTCTTGCTCTTGTTGAGACCCTCATGGATGCGGTATGTCTTCTTTAATTCTCTTCATCTCTTCATTGAATCGTAGGAAATCACTTTCATGGATTTCTTTTTGTTGATTTCTCAAAATTTAGCAAAAAATTTTAGGTTTTTTTTTCTTTTAAAAGGAATTTGATTGATTGAAGGGCCAAAGCTCTTTGATAAAAATTGGATATATGAATCTTGGTCTTAATTTTATATAAAACTAATGAATTGGGCATGTTTTTATATTAATTGTTGCATATTATATTGACACGCAACATACTATGCGTTGAAAATATACTGATTACTAAGAAGCATCAGAAGCACCGTGTTCGAGAGCAGTACTCATTTTTTTCAAAAAAAAAAATGTTAATTTTTCTTAATTTATAAATTATAAGTTAATATATTTTATCTAAAATTTAATTTTTTCTGTAAATCTGAATTGATGTGCTCCGCAGCAAACTAGAAGCCAGCAGGCATGTCTTAAAAGGAGTAATCTTTAAATCAAAGGGGTGATTTTTATTTTTTAATTTCTTTGTATTATTCAATATCTATTGGTTTACATAAGCTGTAAACAAGAGAAATAAAATAAAAAATGGATTTTTTTTAAATATGAAGTTCTTTCCTGCGCTCATAAATTGTGTATCTCTTGCATTTTCTAGTTGAAAAAGCATCCATTTTATTCTGTAAATGATATTTCTTATAAATTAAATTAGTTGAACCATATGATGGCTAAATCATTTTCATATTTTATGAGAGTTGGATAATATTTTAGTACATGCTTTTTATATCCCCTTTCATTTATCCCAATCCATTAATTTCAATCAATTCATTTCCTAATCAAACAACCCGGGAAATAATCTATTTCTATTTCTTTATTTATGCTTGAAATATAAATATTAAATAATTTATTTCCATATTAATAATCATTTTAATTAATTCCAAAATTGAACTTAAAACGATCAGGCTCGTTGGGCGGATATGTTTCCTGGAATGATTGCGAGGACAACCACAACTGATATAATATCTACTGGAGTTGGCAGCACGAGAAACGGATCACTGCAGCTTGTGAGAAATGATATTTTATCTTATATTTTACTGAAATAGTCACTGAACAATATAATGATATGGTTGCAATGTATGTGCATAGATGCACGCAGAATTTCAGGTATTATCGCCTTTGGTGCCAATACGGGAAGTAAACTTCTTGAGATTCTGCAAGCAGCTTGTTAATGGTGCTTGGGCTGTGGTTGATGTCTCCATTGATGGAATCCGAGAGCACAACTCTTCCACGTCTGGACTTGGCGTTAAATGCCGCAGGCTTCCTTCTGGTTGTGTGGTGCAAGACATGCCCAATGGCTACTCCAAGGTATTATTTTAATATATTGCACTCTTGTTTCAGCCAAATTATATTAAAACGGGGATCGATTTACATCCTTAACTTGTAGATATCTTATTTATCTTTTTATTTAACTGTAAATTTTTATATTTATTTTTATAACTACTCTTTACTCAAAATAATATTATAAAATATTATCTTTGACATCATGAGTAGAAATTATTTTATTATACTAAAAAGGGTTCAGTTAATGTCTAGAAATATCTTAGTTATATATTATATATATTCAACAGTACAAAATTTTATATTTGTTTTCATAACTCACTATACATATATATATATATATAAATTTATTACGGCCATCACCAGAGAAAATTACCCCCCTCGGGTTCGCTCTGTCCGCGAAAAACTAATACCGAGGCCTCGCCGTCGCCTTCGCTCTCGCAAATAAATAAATAAATATATATTTTATTTTAAAAAGACTAATTAAAAACTATTTGTAGTTTCTATTCCATGCTTCCATGGTACTTGATTTGATTCCCCTCGGAATTATTAATAGTTTTTAAAAAATAAAAAATATTATCATTTTTGTATATCTATG